TTTCAGATAGATCTTTGGCAGAAAGACTCCACTCAAGAAGCTGGCTTTAGGGTATGTGTATTCGCATGTAAAAGAAAGACAGACAGTGGGAGGTAAAGTGAGAAATCACCCCCTGAGGAGGATGGCCACTTCAGATCTAGCTGCTAACTTGTATCCTTCCACAATCCCCTCTCCTCCATTCTCCTCCCTTGGTCTTGGGTATGCATGTACATCTACCTGATGTGTTTCAAGCCACTGGGACTGGGACTTCAGCCGCAGCCGGCCATGTGAGAATTCAGCAACCTTACCACTATGTCATATGCTGGCCCCATAGAATAGCTTTACTGTTTTTTTTTGTTTGTTTGTTTGTTTTGTTTTTTTAAGAAAGATTTTGGCTCTAGGGAGTATGTGCTTGTCAGAGAGACAGAAAGACAGCGAGAAATCACCCCCTGGGGAGAGGCTAGGCTATAATCCCTTCTCTTCCGGTTTCTTCTTGGGATTTTGGGCACGTGCACACACACACGCCCAGCGTGAGTTTTAAACCACTGGGTCTGGGACTCAAATCACGGTTGACTACATGGGAGTCCAGTGATGTAACCATTATACCAGCTGCTGGTCCCAGAGTAGCTTTTACATTTAAAGAAATAATAGGTTTTACTTTTAAGTCCTTTCTGATAATGGATACATATTTATCCATATGCACACGTATGCATGCATTTATATATGCACATAAGTATATGTAACACACGTACCTGTACACAGACGTACAAATCACACAGTGTGTATGTGTGTACTTTGTACATATGTCTGTATAAATGCTTCGACAAGGATTGGCCCAGTTTTCTTACACAATTGAATTTGTCTTACTATCTGAAATGATGCTTTCATAGTAATTAAAAAGGTGTTTAAATTTTGTAACTTGAAAACTTCCAGGTGAATCTGCTGCATTTTACATATCACTGTTTCCATAATACCCAAATATATATGTGCATCTATATGTGCTAGTACTTTTTCACACAAGATTTGAATGGTTTTCTTCTTTCTTCAAAGGATCCTATTCTGGCAGATGAAGCGTTTCTCTTTGTGAATTCCTCCCTTCAAAGTCTCAACCGCCTGCTGTATGATGAATTCGTAAAATCTGTTTTGAAGATTATTGAGAAATTGGATCTTACACTAGAAAAACAGACTGTTGGAGAGCAAGAGGTTAGAAGTTTTTGTCAGAAATAATTTTGTCTTATCTGTATACCAACTCTTGGCCTGTCGGTGCTGAGGGAGGAACAGCACGTCTGTGGAGATCGAGGGGCTGTTCTGCCTTGTTATGTGCCGTTGGGACTTTCTACTGGATGTTGTCTCACACGCGGGTTGTCTCTAGATTGTTGAAGGTAACATGTTTAATGTGTTTGAATGATTTTTGTGAACAGGGTGTTTACCAGCTTGCTTGTTTCTCATTCGTCAACTCTACCAGAGTCGAATCTGTTTTCTTTTGTGGAGAGGTGAATTTGCAGAGGTTGGGGAGCTCTGGGATTCCTCTGGTTTCCAGTTAAGGAAACTCTAAATGGGCTTGCAGAGTGTTCAATGTGTTCTGGAGAAAGCAGAATTACAGATAACAGAGAAAGGAGGAAGTGCCTCCCTTTATTCTGTCCCCAACCTCTACACCTGAGAGAAGACCATGGCTTTCAGCTGCCCACAAGGAGCTGCACTGCTCTTGCCCGTTTTACCTTCAGGAAGCTATGGTAGAGAGGCCAGTGCCAAAGACTTTGACTTCCAGGAGAGACGAGTTTGCTTTTCATGTTTCTCCAGCCTCAGCTTCCTTGCTGCTGGCAGCTATTTCTTTTTTTTTTAAAGATTATTTTATTTAACTTACTTACTTATTAATGTATTCATTTTTAATTTGACCAGAGAGGGACAGAGCAAGAGACAGAGGGGGAAAGTGAGAAAGCAAATCGTCAGTTCTGGGTCTTGAACCATGGTTGGCCCTGTGGGAGTCGGGAACTCCTAACCACCATGCTGCCTGCCGGCCCCTGGCAGCTCCTATTTCTACCTACTTGTTTAACATTTGAATTTGAGTGCACAGGTTGTGTTTGATAGCACAGATTTGGTAACACATTCTTGCTATCTTTAACATGGAACTTCATGCACTTCCCCCAGTGTTAACTTTTTCATTTGTCCTTCTTATTGCTGTTAATTATTCTTCTTTTTCTCAATTTGAAGCTGCTAAGTTATTGATTTTTTAAAGAATTATGTATTACTTTTATTTATTATTATTATTGTTATTTCATTTGCTATAGGGCATGTGCACTCACGAGAGAGAGAAAGCAAGCTGCTAGGTCTAGGACTTGAACTGCGGTTGGCCATGTAGGAGTCCAGTGTCTTTAACCATCACACCACCTGCTGGCCCTGTATTATCGATATTTTCTACCTTTTGAAATTCTACCTCAGTCAAAGAGTCATTGTTAATTCCTTCAAGAAATGATATCCCTCATGTTTTGGTATTTGTCCCATTCTTTCATCGCTGTCAATTTCTGTGAGTCCTTCCGTTGAGTGGTTTTCTGAGCCCCGTCTTTCTTACCAGCCTTAAACTCTTTTTTTTATTTTTTATTTTTGGAGAGGTTTTTGTTGTAGGGCACGTGTGCTCGCTAGAGAGACAGAAAGTGAGAAGTCACCCCCCAGGGGGGATGGCCACTCTGCAGTCTCCTCTCCTCCATTCTCCTCTCGGGATCTTGGGCACGCACACACATGTTCCAGGCTTGAGTTTAAACCGCTGGGTCGGGACTCAAACTGCAGTTGACTACGTGGGAGTCCAGAGACATAGCCATTATGCCAACTGCTGGTCCCATCTTAAACTCTTGAGGACTTGTCTCTGCCTTTCTTATTTGTGCATTCTTTGCTCAGCATCAGGCCTTGACTGGGAGGCCAGTTGGAAATTGTTTGTTGGACGATGCATGATTCTGTGGCACATGTTTATTTGTTACAATTAATTTTTAAGGATGGAAATGAGACTACTGGTGTTTGGGTGATCCCAACTTCAGATCCAGCTGCTAACTTGCATCCTGCTAAACCTAAAGATTTTTCAGCTTTCATTAACCTGGTGGAATTTTGCAGGTATTTTATAAAATTCTAATTATTTAAGAGAGAAAATTATCAGTTACTGGCTATAATATGGAAATATTCTCATGTAGGTGGAAGAAATGAAATAGTAAAAGACTTAAAATCTAAAATCTCTTATATAAACCTTTAAAATATGTCTAAGTGTACCAGCTTAGAGTCACCTTTTTTGCATTTGAAAGATCGTCCTGTAAGGGGACAAGGAATATAGATACATTTTTGTACCTAAAAATGTTGTATAGTATAAGGGAAGTGTAGTCCATAATTGTTTGACAATGTCTTTTGCAATTCTAAAGCTAAATAAAAATTAGTATGATAAAAATTTCTACCTTGTGTTTTTAATTTATTTTTGCAGAGCAATTCTCCCTGAGAAGCAAGTAGGATTTTTTGAACCCTGGATGTACTCATTTTCATATGAATTAATTTTACAGTCTACACGGTTGCCACTCATCAGTGGTTTCTACAAACTGCTTTCTATTGCCTTGAGAAATGCCAAGAAAATAAAATATTTTGAGGTGAGACTTTTTTTGGAACGTTGAATATTATCGTGGTTTGGTTTTAGGTTATATTAGCATATGTAAATGCATTATAAAATGTATGATCATGGCATATGGAACTTTAATGTCGACTAATTTTATTACATGTGTTTTTAAAATTTGATATGTGTGTGGCAGTCAGATCACACTCTTAGAAGAGCAGGTAGCATTTTCTGCCCTTATTTGCCGGCACCTGGCTAATTATGGAAGCTCGCAGGGCTTCTTAAGGTATGGTCCTGGCACTGGCAGTGTGGGATTACTTGGGATGTCCCAGGCTCTCTCCATACTCAACCTAATCAGAAATTCTAGGGGCAGGGCTCAGGCGATCTGTGAGGCCAGCCACCTGGTTGATTCTTGTGCCTAGTGAAGTTTGAAGACAGCTGAACTAGTGTTCCCAAGGCTTCAGGCAGCCACATGAGGAACCCACTAGGCAAAGACAGGGTGAGCAGGTCTTGTCCATGGGTGCATCTTACTGACAGATGGGGAAGAGGGAATGACTCTGCTGTGCCCATGGCTTTTGGCCAGCATCTTTCTGCCTTCCTGACGCTCTACTTTTGACTGGCATCTGCCTTGAAATAACCTAGCAGCTTATTTTCCTTTTCAGTCTACACGGGACGTTGGTAAGGTGAAACAGATCCATTCCTCTGGGGAAGGTTGAGCTGCTAGATCGGGAGACAGGCCATCTGATTGTTGTCCAGCTTACTAATTTGCTGTTTTGTCTGATAGGGTATCAGTCCAAAGAGCTTGAAACACTCACCCAAGGACCCAGAAAAGTATTCTTGCTTTGCTTTATTTGCAAAATTTGGTAAAGAGGTAATTTTCAATTGCTTTTATCTTTTTTAAAGAATTATTTAATTTTACTCTATTATTATATTTAAAAATTTGACCAGAGAAAGACAAAGAAAGTGAGAGAAAGCGAGACAGCGTGCTGCCAGGTCTGGGACTTGGACCACGGCTGGCCATGTGGGAGTCCAGCACCTTACTCACCACACCACCTGCCGGCCTCTCTTTTTCCCTTTTTTTTTTTTTTTTTTTTTTTTAAGTTTTGCTATAGCATTTGTCAAGGGGTTGTGAGGGGGGAGAGAGTGTGTGTGAGAGAGAAGTCACCCCAGTAGGGGAGATGGCTACGCTGCAATCCCTTCTTCATTCTCCTTTGGGAGAATGAAGCGCCTGGCATTTTTTTCAAGCTGTCAGGCCTGGGATTCAAATTGCACAGTCAGGCATGTGGGGTCCAGCCATCTTAACCCCCATGCCACTGGCTGACTGGAAATAATTTATCTTATTGTTGTCACAGACTATTTTTAAATGAATGTATATTTTTAAAAATCCTAGTAATCATAAATGATCTAATTATTTAAAATTTGGTTTACTAAGTCAAATTAGGTGTGAGGTCTTAACTAATAGAGCTAATCATTGTGCTTCAGAAGTGTCTTGAGTTCTCTTAAAATAATTCAGTTGAGTGATGACAATCCAAAATTAACTAGATCCTTGTGTTCTACCACATAGTGGGAACTAAGTACTTCAGCAGTTAACTGTTCCAGGAGACCAATGTTTATTTAATTTGTAAGTTAATGTTCAGGTCATGTAACACCCAATTTTTGCTACTGGAGAGTAGGGTCGATGTTGTTCACTGAGTTTTCAAGTTGTAGGCTTTGCTGAGGTATACAGTGCTGTCTTCTTTCTTGTTAAGGTGTCAGTTAAAATGAAGCAATACAAAGATGAACTTTTGGCCTCCTGTTTGACCTTCGTTCTGTTGCTGCCGCACGACATCATCGAACTCGATATTCGAGCCTATGTTCCTGCCTTGCAGGTAGGTATGTTGTCTTGAGACAGCTCATTGCTTCCTCATAGCCTTTGCTAGAGGCCATGTGTATGGTAGGGGCTTCCCACAGCAGGCACAGCCACTCAGGGACAGTTCCTGCCACTCACTGGTTTTGGGAGGTGGGCCACACTTGACTGGCTTTCCCTGAGCATCCTCGCAGGTCGACACGGAGTCAAGTCTTGCCTGTGTTGGACGTCTGCAGAGCACCTCCAGCTGTGTAGACAGGGGCTGTTCCTTTTCTTCATCATTACCTGGACTGTGTCCATTTACCTTCTGTTTTTTCAGCAATATAAGGGCATATTCATTAGAATCCATCATTTTCTTTCTTTTTCTTTTTCTTTTTTTTTTTTTTTCAGATTTTAAATTCTGTTTGTTTGTTTCTCTTGACACACAGATGGCTTTCAAACTGGGCCTGAGCTATGCTCCATTGGCAGAAGTGGGCCTGAACGCTCTAGAAGAATGGTCAGTTTGTATCTGCAGGCCTGTCATCCAGCCCTACTACAAAGACATCCTGCCCTGCCTTGATGGATACCTGAAGACTTCATCCTCCTCAGGTAAGGGTGAGGAGATGGGATAGGTATCGCAATTAAAGCGAAGCATAGTAACTGTGGTAGGACTATATTTTTGCAACTTCTGAGATTGTAAAACTTGATAAAGTAGTAATTTTTATCTTTTTTTAAAGAAGTATTTAATTTTATCCTATTATTATTTTTAAAAATTTTACCAGAGAGAGACAAGAGAGTGAGAGAGAGAAGGTGAGAAAGTGTGCTGCCAGGTCTGGGACTTGGAGCGCGGTCGGCCCTGTGGGAGTGCAGCACTTTAACTAAACACCGCACCACCTGCCCACCTCTTCTTTTAAGTTTTCCTATAGCACTTGTTGAGGGGCCGTTAGGGAGAGGGAGTGTGTGTGAGAGAGAAGTCACCCCACCAGGGGAGACAGCTATAGCCAGTCTGGCTATGATGTGCCTTGAATTTAATATTTTTTTAAGTTTGTTGTAGTGCATGTTTGCTCAGCAGAGAGAGAGAGAAAGTGAGAAAGCAAGCCACCGGGTCTAGAACTTGAACCATGGTCAGCTAAGTGGGGGATCCAGCATCTTAACCACCATGCCACCTGCTGGCCCCCATTGTGCACTTAAGAGCAAGAACATTCTTTCTTTATTTTTTTATTTGGAGAGAGATTTTTACTCTAGGGCATGTACTCTCCAGAGAGACAGAGTGACAGAAAACAAGAAACCACCCCACCCCAAGGAGAGATGGCCACATCACAATCCCTTCTCCATTCTCCTCTTGGGATTTTGGATGTGCATGCACACACCCACAGTAGGACTCAAACCACAGTCAACTAGGGACTCCAGCGATGTAACTGCTACATCATCTGCTGGTCCCAGAACATTCTTTTACATAACCACAATTATCGTTATTGAGGTGAGGAAAAGTGACATGGGTATGTACTTTTATAATCTGCAGTTTGTATGCAGAAATTCCATTTTTTTAATAATTATTTTAATTTTATTAATTCTTTCCCAATTTACTATAGTGCTTGTGTACTTGCCAGAGACAGACAGACACACACGCGCACACACACACACACACACACACACACACACACACACACATAGAGAGAGAGAAAGAAAGAAGCTTCTAGGTCTGGGACTTGAACCATGTGGATCATGTGGCCTGAACTACCCCACCACCTGCTAGCCCCAGAACTTGTATTTTTGCTGGTCCAGCCTCTGGTTTGGGTCACACATTGCAGCTAGTTGTCATAGGTCTGGCCTTCTTAATGTAGGATAGTTCTTCTATCTTGCTTAGGTCTTATGACCCTAACATGACCAAGGTCACAGACCTGTTGTTTTGTAGAGTGCTCTTCAGTGTGGGTTTGTCGGATGCTTCCTTGTGGTAAGTTTCAGACTGCAGCACAGTTAGCACTGACGTTGAGTTCTCCTTGGGGCGGGTAGTGGCAGCTGGTGCCATGGCTGGTCACGTGTACTGTCATTGTGTAACTTTTTATAATTGTGAAGCGACTGTTTTCCTTCACATGAATCAATAATTTAAGGCCCTTCCCTTCCTAATCTAGCTCGATGCCGTTAGGTGGCGCAAAGGAAGGTGGGTGCTGGGCAGGGGAGGACACAGTGGTTGAGAAGTATGAGGAGAACGCCCTGGGGCAGCCTGGCACAGCGTCTGAGCCCTGGTTGTGCAGGGAGAGGAGGATGACAGACATGTGTAAAGATAAACAAACAGGCAGGTGTGGTGATGACAGGAGCTAGGTTTCTCACTGTTGAGAAATGGAGCTGCAAGTGAGCGAGGAAAGTGAATGGCCCGGTGCTGATGGACTGGAAGCGATGTGTCTGCAAAGCCGTCTCCCTCTGTCTTCCCACCCCCATGGTATGTATGCATCCATGTGCAGATGCATGTAAACAAGTGTAGAAATAGGGAAGGGAGGATATGAATGTAATGCTTGTGTGTATTCTAGTTTTGTCCTCCAGAGGGCTGTTCTAGAGTGATGACACTTGAAAAGGAGTTAATAGGTGGGACCTTGTGTCCGGGTCATGGCTTTCATATGTTGTCTTCCAGTAAAGGGAGCTAGAACTCCTTAGTTCCAGCCTGGGCACTGAGGAGTGAATACACCACGAACATAGACTATTCCATTCTCTGGAACATCCAGAAATGAAGGAAGTATTCAAAGAATAATGGGGGGATGTGTCAGCAAATTTGGGGATAATTCGAGCATCAAACTAATTCAAGAACCCATGTATGTATAACCCACTGCACCAGATAGGAGGTTATGCAGACATACGTAAGTGACCTGAGCAGTTTAAGTTTCATTGCTGTGTAGTAAGTCACCATATGTTTAGAGCTTTAAACAACTCCCGAAGGTAGGCTTTCAGCTCTGTTGGGCAGAAGTCTCCGTGGGCTCAGTTGGATTTTCTGCTCAGGGTCTCAGGAGGCTAAAATTGAGGTGTTGATTGCACTGGCTCTTACCTGGAACCTGGATAAGAATGTGCCCTGAGGTTCGTTCAGGGATAAGATTCAGTTCCCTGAGCTAGAAGACTGAAGTTTACACTTTCTGCCGATCAGAGGCTATTCTCAGCTCCTCGTGGCCTCTCATGGTTGTGCGCGTGGTCTCTGCGTCTTTTAGTCAGTGAGGCACTTGTACTCCTTCTCAGGCCCTGAATCTCTAAGAGGCCAGTGTTGGAGTCGTATGCGGAGGCTCGGGGCTTGGATCCCGGGCCACCCCAGAAATAGCCCTGCACATAGCAGTGGTCCTGCCCAGCTGGAGCCTTGGGGAAGGTCACATGTGGTGGGAACCTGGTGGGAGATTAGTCTCTTTCTCTCTTCCCTCTTCAATAAATCAATACACTTAAGAACATTCCCAGCAGCAGTGGCACGATGTCCTTCCACCCTGGAAGCCACATGGAAGATTAGAATTTAGTTCTAGGTTGCCTTGAACGCACTGGGCATGTGAGTTCTGAGAGTAGAATGGAGGATAAGGATTGTGGTGTGGCCATTCCCCTAGGGGATGATTTCTCACTTTCTCTCTTTGCTTCTCTTTGGCAAGTGCACATGCCTTACGGCAAAACACACACACACACACACACACACACACACACACACACACACAATCAAGTGGCCTTTGCTGAAAGCTTAGCTCGTTTCTGAGCTTCTTTTCAGACTCAGGTGTTCACTTGCCGTGTGTGGTCCTTTATGAGGTTCTTTCACTGGAATAGTTTGACACAACTCTAAAGTACAGTTCTCCCTGCAGGAGCCAGCGAGATCAAAAATATTTTACTACTGATATATATTATGTACGTTAACATGCTCCCTAAAAAATTCAGTAAGTCTTTTAAAGCATCATTTTCCTTCCAAGATGGGCAACTACTCATCTTAACCCGCATCGTCAGTGATCGTGCGGCTAAGTTCTAGCTGTGGATGCGGTGCACACAGCCTGGTGCCTGAGGCATGCTGCTTCCTGAGGACAGCTCTCCTTCCTTATAAATCAAAGACACCACTGTGAGACAGCCACCAGTAGAGCTGCAGCTGTCCCTCGGTTATGTAACTGACCTCCAAGCTGCCCTCGGGTCACCGGGAAAACGGGTGGGAAATTGAGAACTGTGTGCCACGCATTACTGGTTTGTCGACTCGTGGAGTTCCCATGATACTGCTGGTGACAGCCACCTCCACACAGTGCTGCCACCCCTTGGGATGGCTTTGAGGCAGAAGCATGTCCAAAGCACAAAATCACCGGAAGGGAAAGTGCTAGATGTGGAAGCAGGGCACGGATTGCACTGTGGTAGGGTTCATCTTGAGACAGCCTACCCTGAGGTGTCCTGCAGCAATGCAGCTTACCCTGCTCTGCCAGCGAATGCTCTGGGCGTCTTTAGGAATGTTGAAAGAGACCTTCCATGGCTGTAAAATTAAGACTGTCAACACATTTTGACTCATGTCAAAGACCGAATTAATCCAACAGCTGATAGGGAAGTAGTGTTACAGCTGGTTCTCAGACCCGAATCCAATCACAAGAACACAGTAGACGAACCTACATGAAAGTATAGTATATGATATTATTGGTGTATAATTTTAAAAATCAAATGTATAATCAAGAAAATACTGAAGCTTGTTTTCAGTCTAAAAGATTAAAGAGGTCAGCTACACACAACACATGGTTCTGAACTAAAAACATTTGGCTTGATGCTACACTCTGAATGGATCTGAGGAGGAGCCGGGCTTGTGTCCCCGTGTTGATGCCCTGGTGTGGAGTGCTGTGTGGCTCTCGAGTGGGAGAGTGTCCCTGCTGTAGGGAAGGGGGCGTCTTCAAAACAGTCATGGGGAATGCATGTAATGAAAGAGCAATACGATGAATTTGCTTTAATTCCATTTATCAATGAACTTTCTGAAGTCCCCTTGTACACACTGCAGAATTCTGGGCTGGTGGAACTTCGGGTGGGTAACTGCAATTTTCCACAAAGAAGTTTTGTATTGTACTTACACGTTTTCTATAAATTCGTGATTGCTTCCACAAACAAGAAAAGCAGTTCGAGTACTTGAAGGCTGCATTCTTGTTTCTTCTCAAGCCTTTGCCATTTTAAGGTCAGTTGCTAGTTCTTCCTGAGTCCTTTTGGGGTAGTTGCAGAATGGTGATTTTTCTACCTCCATCATTCTTCATCCTAGTTGGAATTCTACTGTAAGAAATAACTTCTCTGGGAACCATCAGTTAGCGTAATGGCTATGTCACTGGACTCCCACGTAGTCAACCACGGTTTGCATCCCGGACCCGGTGGCTTAAAACTCACGCCGGGCACGTGTGCGTGCGTGCGCAAGATCCCGAGAGGAGAATGGAGGAGAAGGGATTGCGGCGTGACCATCCCCCCTGGGGGGTGATTTCTCGCTTTCTGTCTCTCTGTCTCTCTCCCTGTCTGTCTGGCGAGCGCACGTGCCCTATAGTAAAAACCTCTCCAAAAAAAAAAAGAAATAACTTCTCTTTCCCCTACTTGTTTTTATATCTGTATTAATAGGCAACAGTTTGGAGCTCAGATTGTTGTAAGCGGAGCTTGTGCGCAAAGTGTCGAGCTGGCTCCTGATCGCTCGTGGAGAGCTGGCCTGTCTGAGTGTGCGCTTGTCCAGGGTCAGCAGCCGCTTCTCCAAGGAGCGTGTTCTTTTGGTAGACAATGGAACTTAAGAATAAGATACCTACTATTAATATGTTCTGTTCTAGAAATTGACTTTTTAAAACTATGATTAAAACTAGGATTTCAGCATTTCTATTTGTCAAGATAATGTGTTCTCCCTAGTATTCATCAAACAAGTGAATGATTGCTATTTATTAAAGTTGCTTTTTCTTTTCTGTTGGTAGATGAGATCAAGCATAACTGGGAAGTGTCAGCACTTTCTCGGGCTACTCAGAAAGGATTTAATAAGGTTGTGTTAAAGCACCTGAAAAAGACCAAGAACATTTCATCAGTAAGAAATCTTTTCCATTTTCTCAACTTTTAACAATGCCAACATCAGAGTCTAATGCTGCAAATAGTAAAAGTCTTTATTTTAAATATTAGTTGTTTGGGCCAGCAGGTGGTGTGGAGGTTCAGACAGCTGGACCCCATATGGATGACTGCACAGTTTGAGTCCAAGGCAGCAGCAGAAAATAAAATAACTGTGTGTGTGTGTGTGTGTGTGTGTGTGTATGTATACACATATACATACATTTATATGCACACACACATACACACACATACACAAACGTGTATATATTAGGTGTTGAGGCCAACAGGTGACATGGTGATTGTATGCACTGGATTGCCACATGGCCAGCTGCAGTTCAAGTCCCATACCTTGCAACTTGCTTTCTAACTTTCTCTCTTTGGTCAAATTTAAAAATAATAACAATAATACTAATAAATAAAATTAAATGAAACAATTCTTTTTCTTTTCTTTTTTTAAAGATTTTTAAAAGTTTTTACTTTAGAGTGCATATACTCGCTGGAGACAGAGAGTGAGAGGGAAAGTGAGAAATCATGCCTAGGGGGATGGCCATGCAGCACTCCCTTCTCCTCCTGGGATCTTGGGCACACACACATGCGCCCAGCACCATTTTCAAGCCATCGTGTTTGGGTCTTGAACCATAGTCAGTCATGTGGGAGTCCAGCAACATAACTGCTATGCCATCTGTTGGCCCAGAAAAATAACTCTTTAAAAAAATGTTAGTTGTTTTTGCATAGAGAGTCCAATATAGAAATAATTTCAATATATTTTTAGCAGTCAGAATATGAATTGTGTTAATTGTTTGGCTTATTGTCTTGATACTGTTTTCCTATTTCTCTCTACCCTCAAATGTATTTGAGTGTTGAAAGTAATGTGCTTTATGGGACCAGCAGATGGAGTCATGGCTACGTCACTGGACTCCCATGTAGTTGGCTGCAATTTGAGATCCAGACCGGGCAGCTTAAAGCTCATGCTGGGCACGTGTGCGTGCATTCCTAAAATCCCAAGAGGAGAATGGAGAAGGGATTGTACGTGATCATCTCTCCTGGGAGGTGATTTCTCACTTTCTGTCTTTCTGTCTCTGTTCTTCTGGCAAGTGCACATGCCCTATAGCAAAAATATCTCTCACCAAAAAAAAGGCAGAAAAAAAAAGTAATAAGGTTTATATTCAGTAGGCAAGTTAGAATATTGATATCATGGATATGTAAAACATTAATTTACTGACTGGATCTTTTAAGAAAATTAATTTTATTTGTTATTATTTTTAAAGAATTACTAATTTTATCTGTTGTTATTATTTATTTTTTTAATTTGATGAGGGAGAGAGAGAAAGAGAGAAAGGGAATGTGAGAAAGCAGATCGCCAGGTCTGGGACTCAAACCGTTGTCGCCCATGTGGGAGTCCAGTGCTTTAATCACCACTCCACCTGCCGGCCTTACTATTTTTTAATATGACCAGAGAGAAAGACTGAGAGAAATTAAAAGTGAGAAAGCAAGCCACCAGGTCCGAGACCTGAACTGCAATTGACCATGTGGGAGTCCAGTGCCTTTAACCACCACCCCACTTGCTGGCCCCACTGACGAGATCTTAAATATTATGTCTTTGGCAAAGTCCTGAAATATTTTTTCTGTTTTCCTTTGATAAATGCGTCATGACTTTTCTGATGACCTAATACATTTTTTATATGTTTATGTTTATATAATTATATATTTTTTTCCGTGGGTGATAATTCCTTGAGCTCTTTTTATTTTTCTTCAGATGAGCCATATCATAGGAAATGATGGAAATAGAGAAAATTGAGCTAGTACGTGGAAAATACTTGTTTTTGGAATGAAGTGTGAACTTGAATTTGGGAAAATTATACGAAATTACTTAACTTTATTGTTTATTTTTAAATTTGCTATAGGACACATGTGCTCACCAGAGAGAGAGAGAGAAAGTGAAAAAGTGAGAAAGCAAGCTACAAGGTCTGGGATTCATACTATGGTCACTAATGTGGGAGTTCAACCATGTGGGAGTTCAGGCAGTTGCCTGTTGGCCCCTGGAAAACTTTAAATGTCTGAAATTGATAATGCAAATTCTAGGAGTAAATTCTATCTACCTCATTATTTTTGTCATCTTTTGATGAAGAAGCTTGAACGAGGGTCAGCGGTAGTGTAGCAGTTAAGGTATTGGACTCCCACACGGCTGACCATGGTTTGAGTCTCGGACCTGGTGACTTGAAATTCATGCCAGGCACGTATGCATGCGTGCCCAAAATGGAGGAGAAGGGATTGCAGCATGGTCATCCCCCGGGGGTGATTTCTCACTTTTTCTCTCTCTTTCTGTCTCTCTGGCGAGCACACAATACCCTACAGCAGAAATCTCTCTTCAAAAAAAAAAAACTTGAATGAAGCTAGAAATGGTTGTCTAAAAATTTTTTTTTTTAACTTTTTATCGCATGTAAACAAAACAGATTTCCTTTCTTTTTAAAAAATTTTTCTAGAGGGCACATGTACTCACCAGAGGCAGAGAGACAGGGAGAGAAAGGAGGAGAAAGCACCCCTCTCCCCATGAGGAATGATCCCCTCTCCTCCATCTTTCTCACTTTTGGGATTTTGGGCACACACACACATGTACCCAGTATGTTTTTCAAGCTCTTGGGTCTGAGACTAGAATTGTGCAGTCAGCCATTTGGTATCCAGTCCCCTTAACCACTGCGCTCCCAGGTGTCCTCCAAATAAAGTTTTTGTACAGATTGAGGATAGCAGTTCACCGACCATGGACCTCTGAGGCTCCAGAGAGCCAGGCCAAAGCAGTTTTTACTACGTTGACATTTGTACCCTGGTGGAACGCTGAGTAACACTGTTGGTTCCCGGGCATTTTATTAATGTATGACCCGAGCACAGGTGTCCAATATTCGGGGTGAAGAGCCAGGAGTTGCACATAGCAGGCCCGCCACTTGTGGGGTATGGCAGGGGGCCTGGAGGAGCCTTGAAGAAAAGAGTTGCAGAGTTGGAAGAGATGTCACTTCTTTTGTGAATGTGCAGTAAAATTGATAGCACTACTGTGTAGGATTTAATTAATCATTAAAGGACATTAATGATAGGGTGATAAAATAGTTTTTCTTACTTCTCATCTCTTTATCTTTAACTCAGTTATCATCACATTATGTGATTGCTCATATTCACAGAATGAAGCACTGTCCTTAGAAGACATAAGAACTAGAGTCGTACAGGTGCTTGGATCTCTGGGAGGACAGATGAACAAAAATCTCGTAACAGGTAAACTTGCCTTTAACACGAATGTCCCTGTGTGGGTACATTTGCACTTTCCTGGGTGAGTACGTATCACAGTGCAGCCTCACGTTTGCCCCCGTGAGTGGTTTACGTATTCTCAGGGACCTGCCTGGTGCAGAGCTGCCTGTGTGCATGCAGCACTGACCAGGGAGCAGGTGCTCTGCCCTGGTGGCATGCTGTCCACTACTCTGCACTCTACTCTGTATTAGGCATGTGTCGGGATGCAAAAGCAATCTTTTTGCTGGTCCCTAAACCCAGAATTCTTACTGTATTGGTGTTTTAGGTTGTTTTTATAAGAATTAACATTTTTGATTAGTAAAAATTCACCTGGCTTTGGGGATTTGATGGTGAATATGCTAGTAATGTTTGGTTATTTAGGAGGCTAGAGGGTGCATTTGTAGAGTCAGTGTCTTTGAAGAGGACATTTTACATTAGAAAAGTGCTCATTTACCATTTTCCCAAAAAACACCTTAAGTATCTATCACTGAAATTGATATTAAATGTTATAGACTCTTAGACTTGTTTAACAAATAATTTTACTTTAAATTCAGAAATGTATATCAGTGATTTCTTATGTTATAATGATCTGTTTGAAGCAAAAAAAAAGGAAAACAAAGTGCTTGCCTTAAAAATTTAGAAGTATTCTGGTTTAACTAATGTGAGTGAGAATAATTGGAATTCGAAAACCTTTGGAATGAAAAAACACCCTTTGTGAACTGAACAGCTGCATCCTCAGATGAGATGGTGAAGCGGTGCGTGGCCTGGGACACAGAGAGGAGACTCCGCTTTGCGGTCCCCTTCAGAGACATGAAGCCTGCCATCTATCTGGACACCTTCCTGCCCCGAGTCACAGAACTGGCGCTCTCAGCTAGCGACAGACAGACAAAGGTCATTTGTTTTTTGAATTGTTCATTACATTGATTACTTAGCATTTACTACTTTAAAAACACACTTAAAATTTTATTTAATTTCTTCTTCTTTTTTTAAGTTTGCTATAGGACATGTGTGCTCACCAGAGAGAGAGAGAAAGAGAAAAAGTGGGAAAACAGGTTTCCATGTTCCGTACTCCCAAGTGCAGTCGGCCATGTGGAGTCCAGTGCCTTAACCACCACTCCGCCTGCTGGCCCTGAAACATACACTAAGGATCGCTAATACATTCAGACATTCCATTGTCACTAGTTGTGTATTTTCTGTAGTACAGTAATTAGACAACCACTCACTTATCAAAAATAGGTGTCATTGATAAATGGAAGTCAAACATAAATCATCTTCATAGCCAACCCGGCAAGCATTAACATACTAAATGACTTCCATAACAAAATGCAGTACAAAGGGTATTTAAAAGTGATACTGAGGGACCAGCTTATGGCGTAGCGGTTATGTTGTTGGACTTCCACATGGCCAACTGCGGCTTGAGTCTCGGACCCGGTGGCTTCAAATTCATACCGAGTGCATGTGTGTGCGCGTCCAAGATCCCAGGAGAAGAGATTGTAGCGTGGCCATCTCCCCTGGTGGGTGATTTCTTACTTTCCTTCTCACTGTCTCTGTCTCTCTCTAGGGCTTTCTCTAAAGCTAAGACCCCCCCCACAAAAAAAAAAAAACAACAAAAAACGATACTGAGTCTATGCTTTTTTTGTCCCTTTAATGTGAGAGATTAGAAACAGAAAACCTTTAATATTTTAAGCACATTTTAATGTTAATTGGCAAATTTCCTAAGAGCTTCAAAAACATGTATGTATATTTTTTTAATTGCTGGTGTTATCGGATGGGGAGCTGGAAATTGTTGTGATGGGATGCTCTATTCTTTTTTAAAGAATTATTTACTTATTTATTTTCACTTGTTATTATTTTTTAATTTGACCAGAGACAGAGAGAGAAAGGGAAAGTGAAAAACCAAGCCACCAGGGCTGAGATCCCAACTGCAGTCAGCCATGTGGGCATCCAGCACCTTTTAACCGCCACGCCATTCTTGGGCCCAGATCGCTAAGACTGAAGACCTGTCCTGAGACACAAATAAGGCTATAGCCACAAGAAAAGTATGAAAAACACATTTCAATAGCACACCCAGGAGAAGTTCAAATAGGCAGAGGACCAGGTGGCAACTGCACCTGCATGGGGGTTAGGTGTTACTTTTATTATAAGATCCTGACACGAATATTTAGGATGTCTGTCACCATAACTGGCTGCTGTTTGTTTTCACGGCCTTTGGTGTGCTTGCACACTTCCTGCCTGGTAAGGGGAACCCAAGTGCCTGGCCGGGAAAAGGTGTACACATGCCCAGTGTGGACGTTGACGGTATGAGTGTGCACATAGGCTTGATTTTGCCCATAGTGTTCAAGTACCTTCAGAGGAGTGTGAAATGTGCCCGTCAGCCAGATGGGAGGGTGCCTGTGTGCACATGCGGTGCTGCGGGCAGGACAGAAAGTTACACTTTCCAGGTCTTTTCATGACAGTTTAGGTGGTAAAGGTCAGATAGCCTTTCCCCGTTGGTGCCAGGAGTCAGGCTACAACCCCTGACAATGATGGGTTATGTGTCAGCTGCCCTTCTTGTTGGACTCTTGAAGCTTCCTGCTTATCTGTCTGACTACCTACACCAGCAGAGGGCGTGCGCGCGCGTGTGCGTGCGTGTATGCGTGTGTGTATGCGTGTGTGAAGAGCCCTTTAGTGGAAGGTCGTCCCATCACAATCCATTTTCCTTCATTTCTCCTTCCTGTCAGGATTTTAGGCATGCATGCATGCACACACATGAGCCTGGTATGTTTTTTTAAGCTGCCAAGGCTGGGATTTAAACCACGGTTGGCCTCATAGGATCTGGCTCCCTGTGAACAGGGCTGTAACCACTACTCTACAGGGCCGACCTCAAAAATGCAGTTACTAAAAGTGTATGTTGGAAATATGCAAACAGAGGAGACGAGATGATAGCATTCTGTGATATGGCAATATTGAAATACATTTCTTATGAATGAATCAGGCCCAATGTCTGAAGCTTTTAAATTTTGATTTATAAGCCTTGGATGAAGATCAGGGTGAACAGAACACTAATTTTATCCAATTATTTAATTAAATTAATTAATTAATTTCTTTAGAGTTCTTTTCGCCATAGGGTGCATGTGCTTTCCAGAGAGACAGAAGGTGAGAAATCAGCCCCAAGGGGGTGTGGCTATGCTGCAATCCCTTCTCATCCATTCTCTTCTCAGGATTTATGCACCTGGCATGGAATGTAAACCGCCAAGGTCCTGGACTCGAACTGCAGTCAACTACGTGGGAGTCCAGCAGTGTAACCGTTACATCATTGTTGGTCCCTATCCAGTTAATTTTAAACCTGACTTAGATGACTGTAATCTACAATAGAGGTTTTTCTTCTTTTTTTAAAAAAAATTATTTATTTAATTTTATTTATTCATTCATTTAATTTTTACTTTGACCAGAGAAACACAGACACACAGAGAGAAAGAAAGTGAGAAAGCAAGCCACCAGGTCTGAGACTTGAACCGTGGTTGGCCATGTGAGATTGTCCAGCACCTTAACCACCATGCCACCGGCTGGCCCCCGGGAGTTTTTCTTCTTAAAGGGCTAAAATGAGTTGCATTTCAAAATGCTCCTCTTGCAAACCTGGTAACTTCAACTTTGCTGAACCCCTGGCCTGTTCCAGATTGCGGCGTGTGAACTTTTGCACAGCATGGTTATGTTTATGTTGGGTAAAGCCACTCAGATGCCGGAGCCTGGCGAGGGCCCATCCCCCATGCACCGGCTCTACAAGCGAACCTTTCCTGTGCTGCTTCGACTCGCCTGTGACGTCGACCAGGTGAGTGAGTGGCTTTGAATCCAAAGTCGTCTTAGGACTGGAAGGTGTGGTTCCATGGCCAGCAGAGCCCACCGCACTGAGGAAGCACCTGGGGACCTTCATGGACAGCACTGCCTGGCTGCTCTGCAGGTGCTTCGGTTTAGCTCGTCAGGGATGTGACCTGGGGGTGCACTTGCACCAGTTCCCCTGGGGTTCAGCATCGCTCTGCAGGGCCTCGTTCTTTCATGGCCTGAAGAAGAGAATGAATATAATCCAGCCATGTGTTTAGAGGCACCCCAGTGAAATAGGACACGTGACTGACAGCAGGGGGTTACCACAGACGTGGATAGAGAAGTGAACCTCTCTACTGAAACCTGAAGGCACTTAGTCCCTGCTAAGCCAGGAGCCATGTAACACCTACTGTGGCAAAGCATCTGGCCCACCTCCAGCTGTACAGGCCTCTGGGAAGCACTGACGCTGCCTGGAGGCTGCCTGCCACAGGTGCCCAGGGCTACCCCCACTCTGATGTTTAGTCATAGGCTCAGGGCCCAGCCCTCTCACAGGCCAAGCCCCCGGGGCCTACCACTACCCTGCTCTCCCTGCCAGCATCCGCCCCGGGCCAGGTGCTTGGAAGGCAATAAAGAGACACTTGTTAGTGGGCCGTTAAGGTGGTATTGCGAGGGAATTGCACTCCCTAGGTTTGTCAGTGCTCCTGCGGAAGCCCTAGGCTCTGGGACACAGCGATGTGTCTAATGGTGGCAGGGAATGCTTGCCTTCTCTTCCACAGGAGCATGTTTCTTTTCGTGTGTAACGAGAGTAGATCTGATCTGCCTCTCTGTCACCCCAGGATGGCTAGTGGTCGCAGGCTGGCCAGGCCTCTAGGTGGCTCCACCTCTCTGGCTATCACATGTTGGGCTGGGAGACATCTGGGTTTTACAAGGCCAGTGAGCCTGGGGCCTTGTGGCGCCGATGCAGTTTTATGTAAGTTCCAGAACAGAGTGAGGGCTAGGCTCCTTTCCATCCCGTCTGCAGAGCCAACGTTGCCTCCCTCCTTTGGACAGTGGTGGGAGAGGCAGCTGGCGCTGTCTCTTGTATGTAAACAGATCAAACCAGTTTTTTTCTGTTCTTCCCTTCTGGGGCAGGCCTAGAGGTGTGTTGTAGGACATTGATTTGGTTATGGTTCTTTTATCACCGTGGGGCACTCGGGGTGGGGGTACACAGGGTGACTAATGGTCTGCAGGTGAATGATGATGACCCCTCTCTCGTCAGAACACCTTGCTCTGTGCACATTCAAATCAATAAAGATGAGCACTAGAGCCCCAGCGAGATCTCCCCTAAACTGCCCTCTGAATTAGAGGATCAGTGAGCATATTTTTCTTTGCCAGACTCAGGAAGGGGAAAGGAAAATATATTTGTCATGGAATTGAAGTAGAAAAGGAAACTATTAGCCAGGGTAGAAGTGTTTTTTTTTGCCCCCTGGAAATGGCATTTAAATGGAACTCTTTCTGGTGTAAAGTTACACGAAGGAAATAAACTCTCCTGGTGTTCTCAGGTGACGAGGCAGCTGTACGAGCCCCTGGTCATGCAGCTGATCCACTGGTTCACAAACAACAAGAAATTTGAGAGTCAGGACACTGTTGCCTTGTTAGAAGCTATACTGGTGAGTAATAGTTGATTCTTTCCCTGCTAGTCCATTGACTAGTTATGTTTGATGTGTGTATGTGTGTGCGTGCATGTGTGTGTGTGTGTATATATATATTTTTTTTTTAAAATAATTATTCAACTTTAGTTATTATCATTTTTTATTTTGACCAGAGAAAGATAGAGAAAAAGGGAAAGTGAGAAAGCAAGCCACCAGGTCCAGGACTCGAACCATGGTCGGCCATGTGGGAGTGTCCAGCACCTTAACCACCACGCCACCTGCTGGTCCTGATGTGTGTGTGTGTGTGTGTGTGTATTTTTTTTTTCTTTAGGACTTTAAGAAATAGTCCTTTTCAAAGTAATAAAATATAGCATCTGACTGGCTCATTTGCCTTTTTTCTCTTGTTTTATTTATAATACCACTTTAATGGACATGGTGTCACACCTTGTCTTTTTTTTTAAAGACTTTTGCTATGGGGCATGTGTGCTCGCCAGAGAAACAGAAAGTGAGAAATTACCCCCCAAGGGGTATGGCCATGCCGCAGTCCCTTCTCCTTCACCCTCCTCCCAGGATTTCAGGCATGCACATGTATGTGCCTGGCATAAGTTGAAGCCCCAGGTCCAGGACTTGAACCGTGATTGACCATGTGGGAATTCAGTGACTCACCATTAATGCCATCTGCTGGTTCCACACATTTATTTTCTTAAGTCATTCATTCTTTTATTTATTTATTTATTTTTAAAGAACTACTTTTTATTTAACTTTTATTTATTTATTCATGCTAGTTAATTCAACCAGAGAGAGAGAGAGCGAGCGAGCGAGCGAGAGAGAGAGAGAGGGAGAGCGAGCGAGAGAGAGAGCGAGCGAGCGAGCTGAGGGTCAGGGGGAGTGAGAAAGCAAGCCGCCAGGTCTGGGACTCAAACCATGGTCAACCCTCTGGGAGTCGAGCACCCTTAACAACCACACCACCTGCCGACCCTATTTATATATTATTTTAAGAGAGACTTTTACTCTAGAGCATGTGTGCTCATCAGAGAGAGGCAGAAGGTGAGAAATCACCCCCTGGGGGGGATGACCATGCCTCAGTTCCTTCTCCTTTATTCTCTTCTTGGGATCTTGGGCATACACGTGTCCAGTGTGAGCTTTAGCCACCAGGTCTGGGGCTCGAACCAGTCGACTATGTGAGAGTCCAGTGACATAACCATTGTGCCATCTGCTGGTCCCCTTATTTGTTTGTTTGTTTTAAGAGATTTTTCCCCATAGGGCATGTGTGCTTACTAGAGAGACAGAGACAGGAAGTGAGAAATCACTCCCGGCGGATGGGCACGCTGCAGTCCCTTCTCTTTCATTTTCCTCTTGGGATCTTGGGCGCACATGCACATGCACCTCGTGTGAGTTTTAACCCACAGAGTCCAGGACTGAGGCTGCAGCCAGCCAACCGTGTGCGAGTTTAGTACTTTAACCAGTGTGCCACCTGCTGGCCCCCAGCCTGTCCTTTGTTTTTTTTTTTTGGAGAGGTTTCGCTATAGGGCATGTGTGCTTGCCAGAGAGACAGAAAGCGAGAAATCACCCCTCCCCGCCCCGGGTGGGGGGAAAGACAATGGCGCCGCAAACCCTTCTCCTCCATTCTCCTCTCTGGATGCTCAGCCTGCCAGGGCCCGGCATGAGTTTAAGCTACTGGGTCTGGGACTCTAACCGTGGTCGACTATGTGGGAGTCCAGCAACATAGCCATTATGCTAACAACTGGTCACAAGCCTGTCATTTTTTAAAAAGCTTTTTATTTCTTTCATGAGAGAAAGTCACACAAGCATTCCCAGCAGGACCCTCCTGCAGTCTGCCCTGAGCCTTGGCTTTCCTCTCTCATGGAGCATGCTCATGCCAGGCTGCTCAGGGGTAGCCAGGCTGAGCTCAGGCTCTTCCCATGTGGGGCTCGTGTTAGTACCCCAGTGTTACCACACAGCCCATGAGTGTGTTTTTTGTTTATTAATTGTGGAATCAAGTTCCAGGAGCTGGCAGGTGGCATGGTGGTTAAGGGTACTGGACTCCCACAAGGCTGACAGTGGCTCGATTCCCGGGCCTGGTGACATGCTTTCTCACTCCCCCTGCCCCTGTCCTTCTCTGGCCAAATTAAAATAAATCAACAAATAAATAAATAAAGTTAATTCTTAAAAAAAAAAAAAGTTCCAGCTAAACACATGCCAAGTTTGTCCAAATACATGTCCTTTTTTTTTTTTTTTTTTTAAGAGGATTATTTTATTTAGCTTTATTCGTTTTAATTTGACGAGAGAGAGAGACAGAGAAAGAGAAGGGGAAAGTGAGAAAGCAAGCTGCCAGGTCTGAGACTCGAACCGTGGTCAGCCTTGTCGGAGTCTAGCGCTGTTAACCACCACACCACCTGATGGCCCCACAGTCCTTTAATCTCATATCATTGCACTCTGATTCCAGTTTGTATCTGTGTGTCATTTGCTCTTCAGGTTTGTGATGTGTCTGAGGACTGAGTCGGTTGTGGGTTTATCTCATGGAGCACAGTGGGAGGTAAGGCTGGGAGGGAAGGAGTCAGGTAGGAAAGCTGAGTGCAGCCTGGAGGCCAGTCCAGCATGGCCCCAGGGTACCCACTGAGCAGTGCATTCTCAGAGGGGCCCTGGCCCCGAGCCCTGTCGTTGGCACTGGAAGGTACGGAGCACTTAGTGATACAGTGGCACGGTTATATCCTAGTTTAATTCCCCGCCATGTCTGCCACTGGGCCCTGCCTGTAGTGCATGCAGTTCATCATTTTTAATTTGTGACTTATTTGCATTCAGGTGGATTTATTGCAGTGTTTCTCTTTTTTCAATTTGTCAGAGGGCACATGCATTTGCCAGAGAGCGAGCGACAGAGAGAGGGTGAAAGCACCCCCCCGCCCCATGGGGAATGGTCATGCTGCAGCCTTTTCTCCTCCATCTCTCCCTCCGTGCGGGATTTTGGTACACAGTCACATGTCTTTAAGCTGCTGGGCCAGGACTGAACTGCATGGTCAAGTCATGTGGGATCTAGTTCCCTTAACTACCAGGTCACAGGTCTGTCCCTCTAATGCTTCTCTTCTGAAGTTTCTCTTTTAGTTATTTATATTTTCCCTTTTTGATCCTTGAAGGTACCTTAAGCTGAGGCCTTCAGAAAGGAATCTGGTAAGATAGCAGTAAAGTGGGCCAGCCTGTGGTGGCTAAGGTGGCTGGATCCCACAAGACTGATTGGTTTGAATCTTAGACCTGGCAACTTGAAAAACATACCAGGTGTGTGTGGGTGTGTGTGTGTGCGTGCGCGGGCGCGCCCAGAATCCCAAAAGGAGGCCCAAATGGAGAAGGGATAGTGGAATGGCCGTTTTCCATGTGGGGTGCCCATGCCCCCCGTGAGTACACACACCTTCTAGAAAATTAAATAAAGATAGCAGTGAAGCAAAATGAGATTGATAAGGAAAGAAAAGGCAACGAAGCCGGGGAACTGGGCAGCACTGCGCTCCATGGCAGGAGAGCCCTGAAGTGTGTGCACGCCTCTTCCCTGAGCACGGGAACGACCTCTTCCCTCCTGGTCTCGGGAGACCCTCTGCAGGTCCCTTAGCACCACCATCACAGAGTTCGCATGTGGCGAGCAGCACAGCTGTGAGGCAGGGCGCCCTGATCGGTGTGGAGGGCACTTTTTCTTCATAGATCAGAGGGGAAATAATGCTTAGAGGGAGACTAAGCCATTAAATAGGCCGGTTCCTCTGTGGGTTTGGCCAGGTCTCATTAGCTGGCTTCTATAGGTGTTCGTGTGCGGTGCCATGATGGGACGTCTCTAAGAAAGCAGTGTTCAGAGTCTCGCCTCTGTGTGGTGTCTCTGTAGCAGGACAATGTCTTTGAAACACCAAGCATCTTGTTCTCTTTCACCTCAATATATAAAGCATCATGGATGCTTTTAGGGACTAAAATTGACAACCACAGAAATTTTTAGGCTGTAGCCACTGTGTTTTTTTTTTTTTTTTTCTTTTTCTCTTTTGGAGAGGTTTTTGCTATAGGGCATGTGCACTCGCCAGACAGAGAGAGACAGAGAGACAGAAAGCGAGAAATCACCCCCCAGAGGGGATGGCCATGCCGCAATCCCTTCTCCTCCATTCTCCTCCCGGGATCTTGGGCACGCACGCGGACGCGCCCGGCGTGAATTTCAACCCACCGGGTCCGGGACACGAACCGCAGTCGACCACGTGGGAGTCCAGCGACACAGCCATTACGCTAACTGCTGGTCCCTTTTTTTTTTTTTTTTTAAAGAAATAGCACTGATATTTTTTTAAAAATTATTTTATTGAACTTTATTTTATATTTCTTTTTAACTTGGCCAAAGAGGGACAGAGAGAGAGGGAAAGTGAGAAAGCAAGCCACCAGGTCTGAGACTCGAACCATGGTCGGCCACGTGGGAGTCCAGCGCCCTTAACCACTACATCACCTGCTGGCCCCCGCCATTGTGTTTCTTCAGGGAAAGGAGAAACTGTTTTGTTATAATATAGTTGAAGGACTGTATGGACTTCAAGTCTTTTGTATGGACTGTTCAGTTTAAAAGGAAGTTTTTCATAATGTCAAAAGGAAATCATGATTTGAGTGTAGATCCGATTGATTTTACTAGTGTTTATTTTTTGACTAGTAATAAACTGAGTTTTGTAATGTGCTCTTAATAAGATCAGGGCATTCAGGTTTTTTATGGTTATATAAATGAGTGATAAAGGCCTCTTTGTTTCAGGATGGAATTGTGGACCCCATTGACAGTACATTAAGAGACTTTTGTGGCCAGTGTATTCGGGAATTCCTCAAGTGGTCTATTAAGCAGACAACACCGCAGCAGCAGGAGAAGAGTCCAGTAAACACCAAATCTCTTTTTAAGCGACTATACAGCTTTGCACTCCACCCCAATGCTTTCAAGAGGCTTGGGGCATCACTTGCTTTCAACAATATCTACAGGGAGTTCAGGTACGATAGCCACGTGGTGGGGAAGAGTGCAGGAGATGCTCTTTCAACATCGAGTAGTGACTTTTGCGGGACTTGTGTTTAACTACATGTTGGCATATTTGTATAGTAAGTGCGTAGGAACCCATGTGTGTATTAAACATGAATCCAGGCCCCACAGTGGCGCAGGTAGCAGGGTTCCAGTGCATGATGCTGGCACACAGGGGAAGCCTGGATTCGGACCCTTGCCTGACCTGAACATGCCAGGTGTACCCTTGTGTACTTGGGATCCTGGCCTGGGTGCTGGAGGGAGGATTGCGGTGTGATGAGACCCTGTCAGGGGTACTTAACTCTGTCGGTCTGTCTGATTTTCCCACTCTTTTATGAAAATAAATAAATAAATAATAAAGATTTAAGAATTCAGCTTATATTCAACAAGCTTAGAAAGTGCTGAGAGGACCCAACAGGTGGTGTAGAGATTAAGTGTTTGATTCCCACGTGGCTGACTGCATGGTTCAAATCCTGGACGTGGCAGCTTGAAAAGCATGCCAGGTGGATGAGTGTGTGTGCCCAAAATCCTGAAAAGAGAATGAAGGAGAAGGGATTGTGATGTGGCCATTCCCCCCTTGGGGGCTGCTTTCTCACTTTTCCTCTCCCCATCTCTCCGCAAGTGCACGTGCTCTGTGGCAAAAACCTAAGAAAATAAACTGAAAGGGAAACGCTGAGAGATACGTACAACCCAGTACCGGTACTGCGGTGCTGTGCCGCTTCTTCTCTGTCCTTTCCGCCTTATTGTTCTCTGCAATGAGGCTCAGTGTTCTTTTTTTGTTTCTTGATGTTTTTTAGAGGATTTTGCCTTAGGGCACTTGTGCTCACCTGAGACAAGAGAGAGAAAGGCAGAAACAGAGATAGGGAAAGTGAGAAATCACACACACACCCCACCCCAGGTGGCATGGCCACGCTGCAGTCCCTTCTCCATTCTCCTCCCCAGATCTTGGGCATGCATGCACATGTGACGGTGTGATTTTCAAGCCATCAGGTCCGGTACTCGAACCACTGTCCACCAGGTGGGAGTCCAGCGACACAACCACTGAGCCACTGCTGGTCCTGAGGCTCAGTATTTTTTATGTTACAGGGAAGAAGAGGCTCTGGTGGAGCAGTTTGTATTTGAAGCCCTGGTGACCTATATGGAAAGTCTGGCCTTGGCACACGCAGACGAGAAGTCCTTAGGTGCGTCTCATTCCAGCACGCTGTTTGCTTGCCATTTCTGTTTGCCTTCCAGGACTGAAGAGCTTGATCGTTCTGGAGTTAGGTTCAGATCATTCTCCCATGAGTTATTTTCTCTCTCACCTCCCCCATAAATACATCTGCTAATTAGAACAGGAGCCTCAGATTTGGTTTGTAGAAAGTTCTCTTATTCCCGCATCCTCTTACGATTCACTTTGGCAGCCATAGAACTTGGCCTCTGGTTGATCGGAGACACTGCCCAAGTTGGTGGAGTTTTTAAGCCAGTCAGTGGCTCTGATGACACAGAACGTGAATTATCTCCAGACTCCCACTGCTCAAGCACACAGGGGGCCATAGCCACTGAGATGTGCCTTTGAAACGACTAAGATGATTTAGCAAGCAGGTCTCATTAAAAGGTGTGATAAAGCTATTTCATTCTGATTAAGATATGATCATATCTGTAGATGCTGAAAAAGCATTTGATACAATTCAACATCGCTTCATGACCAAGACTCAGCAAAATGGAGGTAGAGGGGATATTCTCCAACATAATGAAAGCCATGTATGACAGACCTACTGCAAGTATCATGCTGAAGGGGGAGAAGTTCAACGCTCTCCCTGGAAAGCATCGAAAACCGGAGAAGGAAAGCTTGCCTGCTTTCTCTCCATTCGTTTTCTTTCTTTTTAACTTCACAAAAAGTTAATTATGAAAACGCACACGACCTGATTCCTATTCATCGTAAAATAGGCTTCTTGAGGGGACATGGGTTTTCTCTTGAGCAGCCGTTACTTGTACTCGTCCCAAAGCTCTAACATGAGAATACTTCATCCTCCTGTCGTCATGTCCCAGTATTTGGCTGTCGCCCACCAGTTGCCGTCTCCACACACCCCTCTGTCACAAGATTCATAAATGGATCACGTCCCCGCGTATTCCTCGGACATGTCTGCCACCATTTAATTTCAGTGATAGCTTCTTGTCTAAGTTTGTTCAGTCCTGGAGGGTGGGCTTTGCTCATGGTGCCTACTCAGCAGGCTCCGCGATGCCTTTCTCTCCACTCCTTTTCAACATAGTGCTGGAAGTCCTAGCCAGCGCAGTCAGACAAGGACGTAAAATAAAGGACATTCAAATTGGAAAAGAAGTTAAGCTGTACCAATTTGCAGATGATGTGATTATATACCGAGAAAATCCTAAGGAGTCCATGAAAAAGCTTCTAGAAGTGATCATTGAATTCAGTGAAGTTGCAGGATGTGAAGTCAGTGTACAGAAAGCTATAGCTTTTCTATTCAGTGATGTACAGACTGAAACAGAGTTGGAAAAAGCAATCCCGTTAGAATAGCTACAAAACAAGATACCTAGGAATAAATCTAACCGAAGAAGTAAAAGACCTTTATAAGGAAAACATGAAAACTGAAAAAATAAATGGAATATGACATTAAAAAGTGGAAGGACCTCCGGTTCCCGTAACTGCTATGCTATGGGCCCAGCCCGGTCCTGCAGTCTCTCTCTTTTTGTTTTTTCTTTTTTTATAGAGAGATTTTTGCTATAGGGCACGTGTACTCACTGGAGAGGCAGAGAGAGACAGAGAGAGAGAAAGCGAGAAGTTACCCCTGGGGGGATGGTCATGCTTCAATCCCTTTTCCTCCATTCTCCCCTTGGGATTTTGGGCATGCACACACACACGCCCAGTGTGTTTCAAGCTGCCGGATCTAGGACTAGAACTGCAGTGGGCCATTTGGGAGTCCGACAATGTAACCATTACACCATCTACTGATCCCCCAATCCTACAGTGCTATTTTTTGGTAAAGAATTATTTTATTTAACTTAATTTGTTTGTTTATTTAAACTTGACCAGAGAGGGTAAGAGTGGGATAGAGGCACAGTGAGAAAGCAAGCTGCCAGGTCCGACACTCGAACCGCGGTCCGCCATTTACGAGTCAGCACCCTTAACCACGCCGCCTGCCAGCCCCCCGGTCCTACAGTCTTAAAAATAGCTTTTGTTTTTGTTTTTGGGCATGCAGCGTAACTCATTTATTTTAATTTTATTCTGAATGATGAATGATAATTAAACCTATGGTAAAATGACCTGTTTTAAATAAACTAGTTCTATTACTGAATTACTAGTCGTAATGAGCTGTGGATCTTCTTTGGAAATGTGTTTTCACCTTGAAAATAGGGACAGTACAGCAGTGCTGCGATGCCATTGATCACCTGAGCCGCATCATTGAAAGGAAGCACGTGTCCTTGAACAGAGCCAGGAGGCGGCGTTTGCCACGGTAGGTGGCACTGTCTCCTTTCCATCCGGGCCCCACCCAGGTAATCCTCAGCTAGTACAGGGCAGTCCAGGATGGCTGTGTGAAGTACGAAGGGTTAATTAGTTTCCCAAAACAAGGAATAGGTCGAAACGTGAAGAGTCAGTTTTCCACTGAAGTTAACAAACTTATTTGAAAATGCGTGATTTTTAAAACATTTTATTTTTTAAAAATTTTATTTATCTTACATTAATTTACTTTGCATCATCACAGCATATAAAATGCTGTTTCCCATCCAGAATACACTGTTTATTGGCTTAATCAAGGATATTACCGTTCATGTTATCACCAACAAATAATTCAAATAATTTTCCATTCCTTGTTTCTTAATTTTTTTTTTTTTCTTTCCCCCTTGATTTAAAAAATATGTGATTTAAGGTGTAAGGTATTTGATCTTGGCTGTTTTATCACATACAAATCAAAAAATAGAATTGTAACTGAGACATCTTATCGTACCCCTACAAATACTGAACACAGATGTATGCAGAATTACTTGACTAGAATGTGTGTGAAATGTCACGTAGGAAAAGTCAAGGCATAAGAACTGAATGTTAAAGTATAATAGTAGGACTTGGGCAGACTCGGGATCGTAGAGTGACCGAGGAAGCTGCTCAGAACCACAGTTGCTTCGAGCCAGAGGTGTTCAGTCCTCCCTCCCGTTTCCACACCAGCCTTTTCAGACCGGGCAGAGTTACGCAGCAGCCCCTGCGTGATCTGCACGGCGCCTGGGAGCCCAGCCCTGATGTCGGCAGGCAGCCACGACTGTACAAGCGTGGACATCAGAATTTTTTCTATTTAAATTTTCTTTATTTAAAATGGATTCCTTCTGATCCTACCATTAATTACGTCCGTCATCTCTTCAGGTCATTGATTCTCAAACTTGAGTATACTTTAGAGTTACCTAGAGGTCTAGTTAAAACACAGATTTTTTAAAAAATTAATTTTTAACTTTGTTTTTAACTTTATTTTTAACTCTATTTAGTTGTTTTAATTTGCCCAGAGAGGGACACAGAGAAACAGAGAGAGAGAGAGAGAGAAGGTGAGAAAGCAAGTCGCCAGGTCCAGAACTCAAACCATAGTTGGCCATGTGGGAGTCCAGCACCCTTTACTACCATGCCACTTGCCGGCCCCAGAACACAGATCTTTATCAGTAAGTCTGGGGTAGACAATTTGCACTCATAACAGGCTCACAGACAACGATGGTGCTGGTGGTCCAGGGTGGTCCTGGGTCCACATTTTGAGCAGCACTGCTTTAGCTCTTAGGCCCTCTTTTGTTTTTTGGGAAACATGAAAATATATAATGCTATTCTTTTTTTTTTAAGATTTATTTAATTTTGTTTATCATTATTATTATTTTTTAATGAGAGAAAGAGAGAGAGTGAGAGAACTCACAAGAAAAAGTGAGAAAGCAAGCCTCTAGGTCTGGGACTTGAACCACAGTCAGCCATGTTGGAGTCTAGCACCTTAGCCACCAGCCATCTGCTGGCCCCAGTGGTGCCATTCTTTAAAGAAATGCTTTAAAAACTTTCCCAAAATAAATAAAAAATAAAAAGGTTGACACAATGTGGGACCCTTTTAAGCTGTGATGTTTGGATTAATTTCTTGTAATAAAACATTTAAAGTAAGTCGGATGCCTTTTAATGAAGTTTCTACCTATATTTGTGTGGTGAGTGGATTCATGATCTCCAGGTTCTTGGATAGCTGGACATCAAGTTTCAGGGAGTGCGTTAATGGTGTGTGTTGTCCCCCTGTAGAGGTTTTCCTCCTTCGGCCTCGCTGTGTTTATTGGATCTGGTGAAGTGGCTGTTGGCTCGTTGTGGACGGCCCCAGACGGAGTGTCGACACAAATCCATAGAACTCTTCTACAAATTTGTGCCTTTATTGCCAGGTATAGTGGTCCGTAAGTTCTGTACAGTGACAGGTTTGGCTTTTGCCAGTAGCTTGCAGATTGGGTTTATTTTAAATGTGATCTGTCCGTTACTCAAATGAGTGTTACAAGTGTATGCTTTTAATATTTATTTCAGTGTGTGTGGGAGATAGGAGATATGACTACATTTCTCATTATAGAAGGAAAGAAAAAAAGATACTTTGATGTTAATAGTTAATATAGATGTTAGTTTAGAATTTTAACGTATCTTTATTTCAGTATAGCTTTGTTTTTCTAACCTGTCTAAAAGAAATAGTTTGCAACCATTGTAGTTAATGTGATACTCAATTAAGCTTCAGAACAGAACTAGCTCATGTAATGCTGCAGCTTTATTTAAGCATGTACTTAATAAGGAACGGCTAGAGTCCTAAGTCTGAGTGGCCTGAGATCATTGTGATAATGGAGGAGAGCAATAAACCTTTGCTTTCCAGTCTTCACTGACTCATTACACTGTACTTATGGGGTTGGAATAATTGCTGAATTTCTAAGGCATAAACACACTGATCTGCTTTCTCCAGTGAGTCCAGACCCATTTTGGTAGCTTTGAAGTGAGGAAGCCATGCCCCAGGAGAGAAGCAGCCTGGCTCCCTTTTGCCGTGGGGCCTGTGCTTCTGTGAGCATGGCCAGGAGGCTCTCGCTCAGCAGCAGTGGGGGCAGAGTTCACCTTCAGGCCTTTTTCATCCTGGAACAAGAGGAAAACTTTACCTCATGTGTTTCTAGGCTTCTGAAACTTAAAAGGATTCTCAATTTTCTTCTACTATGGAATATTTAGAAGGCTTTTGTTCGCGGAAAATGCTTATTACTTAAAAACTTCATGGGTTTCAAAATTTTTGCCTCAAAATAAACTCGTACCTTAATTCCACCTTTCCATGCACTTTTTGAAATCCCTGCATACGTTAATATTATAAACTAGATATTTTATATGCTAAGTAATATAACTGTATTTATACTGTATTTTATTTATTTGTGCTCTATAAACAAGTTTATACTATTAATTTTGCATACTCATGGATATGTATATCTGTTTTTAGAGAATTGTTTAAAAAGCCTAATTAGTATTTTAAATGTGCTTATTCTTTAAAGAATAAACATATAAAAATATATTAAAAAGCATTTGCTTTTAAAGGCTTTTAAGTTCTCACAGCAACTCTGTAGTCAGTTAGGAGGGAATGGGAATGGGGAGTGTTCTTCTCATCTTCAGCGGAAACGAGACCCACATGTTACGTGTGAAATGGCCCGTTGGTAGACCATGCCTCATGTCTGATCTCTGACTCGGGACTGTAATTGGAAGTGCACCTTGCATTGTGAACAAGCCTCATTGGCCACAGTAGGGCCACTGAGCAGCGTGGCTCTCATGAGTGCTGGTGTTACCAGGATCACTGAGCCTAGCCTGTTGCTCTTCTCTGCCCCATTGCCCTGGAAATAGCAAGGGCTTCCTATTTTCTAAGCTGAAGGCTAGGAGCCCTGCCTCTCAGCATTGTTCTGTTAAAAGGGTGACGGAAGTGCTCTGTCTGGACGGCTCCTGGAGCCTCCTGAGCTGCGCTTGCCTCTCTCTCTCGGCATCTCGCTACAGTGGTCTTTGAGCATATTGGCGTGCCATGCAAGCTCTCGGGGTAGCAGGAAGTGGGATGGGAAACTGCTTCCTGTTGGACAGAGTGAGCTGTGCGTGCTACTCAGAAGGCAGGTGGGGGCAGGCCTCAGGACACAGGAGAACAGGAGAAACTGGTGTGCTGGGTGGACTCAGGGAGGTTTTCGGAGTGTGTGGGATTAGCCAGGAAGAGCATCTCACCTGACTGCTGTGCCAGCCTCTGGTCCCTGTTCTTCCTTTCTCTTCTGTTGCTCTTGCTAACACTTGATGGAGAAATTAGACATCTTTTTTTCATCCATTATGTTTTCGTTTGTGAAAGTAATGGAGTGTTTTCTGGATACAGAAGCTGCCTCCTCTGAAGGCTCCATCCTTATGGCTGTTGGGGATTCTTCTCTGACTTCATTAGCGTCAGAAGGACTCGACCTTTTCCGAACACTGACTTCAGAGCATGCACAATTCAGTCTCGTGTTCTATCTTTGACTTAGAAAAAGGTTTCATACCTGAGAGAAAGTAACTTTAAAGCATATCTTCTGACTCTGTTTCACGGACTCTGCCCTTCCTACGGGAGAGATGCTGCCCTAAGCACGTGTTCACATAGGAACCACTTTGATTCATGTATAGCTTTTTAGCTACAAGATGTAGGTATTGTTAGTGTTCTTATTTACGATAAGGAAACTTGAGAGGCCAAGAGGCCGGTCCCGGTCCCCGCGGCTAACCAAAAGCAGTTACAGCACGCTTCCATGACTTACAGGGACAGTGATATTTAAGGAAGAAGGCAAGGGAAAGGTAGTTTTTACAGCGCTTCCAAATGTGTTCAAAGAGACTGAAGAGGTTGGGCTTGAGGGTAATAATTTTTTGGTAACAATTATAGGGACATAGATAACAAGTGCCATAGTAGTGGAATCAAAAAGGATTGTCCCATGTCATTTTGACCTTTCTTTTTTTTAAGAGAGATTTTTGCTATAGGGCATGTGTGCTCTTCAGGGTGACAGAGACAGGTAGACAGAAAGCAAGAAATCACCCCCAAGGGAGATGACCACAGTGCAGTCCCTTCTCTTCCATCCTTCTCTCATGTACTTGGGTACACATGCAAACACATGCCCAGCGTGAGTTTTAAGCAGCTTGGTCCAGGACTTGAACTGCAGTCAGCTACATGGGAGTCCAGCGACATAACCATTACACTATCTGCTGGTCGCCATTTAAAAATTTTAGTTAGATACAAAGATAGAAGAAATTTACTTATGAAAGTTACATATCTGTGTCTTTTAACCTTGTTTCTATTTAAGGCCACAAAAGCCCTTCCTTATGGCTGGAAGATATCGTTAAGAAAGAAGATGTGTCTTTCCTCATCAGTACGTTTGAGGGTGGTGGCAGCAGCTGTGACCAGCCCTCGGGCATCCTCGCCCAGCCCACCCTCTTCCACCTCCGAGGGCCCTTCACCCTGCGCGCGACCCTGCAGTGGCTGGACATGCTCCTGGCTGCTCTGGAGTGCTACAACACGTTCATCCAAGAGAGGACGGTCAGCGCTCTCGAGCTCCTGGGTAGGTAAAACCACCCCACGTCAGCGCTGTCAGCTCTGTGGGAAGCACCCTGGACGGATTGCTCTTGGCACGTCAGCGCGGCGGCACCGCTGGTAGCCAACAGTGTGGCTGAGTGCTGCGGAGCGGTTCCCCTGTTCTCCTTACTCTCCAGTGTGGGCGCGATGTGGGTGACCACACGCAGCCTGCACAGACCTGCCCACAGCCTGCTTTTCCTTTTTGTTCTCGACTCTTTTTCCTTTTTAAAAAATTATTTATTTTATTTACTTACTGTTGTTAATTCAGTTTGACCAGAGAGAGAGAAGGAAAGTGAGAAAGCAAGCCACCAGGTCTGGGACTTGAGCTACAGTTGGCCATGTGGGAGTCTAGTACTTTAACTACCATGCCACCTGCTGGCCCCTGCTCTCTACTCTTATAAAATAACTTTTGGAACTTTTCATGTACTGAGAGCACATAAAGAACTCCTGACGGGCAGCTGTGTAAGCTTATTCACAGTCTCTACGTAGAGCGTGTTTTTCATAAATTTTCATATTCTTTAAGCTTTTTAATTATTGTCGGCAGTAAATGATGTGGTTTGCAGAGGACTCGACGGCACGTTCTGTGTGTTCCTTGGTTTGTGCTGGTGAAGGGGAAATGGCCACTCTCTGTCTAGTGGTGCTCAGGGGGCTCTGCTCCAGCCCGAGGCACCGGGGTGTGCTGCCAGCCAGCAGGTGCGCCGCCTACCGGGCTCTGACCAGGCTTACCGCAGACACCCTTTCTTAGACTTGTCCTTGGAACATGTTCTGCTATTTAAATGACTTTCGAATCAGAGCATCCACTCTTGTGCCTAGTGGTGATGCTTTACTAAAAGTGCCATTTTCTTCTCTTTAATTCTGTCAGAGATGAAACCAGTGTTAGGGGAATTTGGGAGGAAGGGATTAGGCATTCATTTTTTTTTTTTTTTTTTAAAGAATTATTTCATTTAACTTCCTTCCTCCCTTCCTTCTAATTTGACCAGAGAGTAAGAGAGACAGAGAGGCAAAGTGAGAAAGCAAGCCTCCAGGTCTGGGACTCAAACTGCAGTTGGCCATGTAGGAGTTCAGTGCCCTCAATTACCATGCACCTGCCAGCAAGGGACTAGGCATTCTTATCTTTGGCTTGAGGATGGTAGAAGCTGAGCCTAGCAGGGAGCAGATGGTATATGTGTGTGCACATTTCATCTGTGCATGCATGTGCACATGTATGCTGAGGGCCAGGAACTCAGATTGTATACACGTCTCCAAAAAGTGGGCTTCTTCTCATGAGATACTGCTCAAAGGACTGGTCAAAAGTTGTGAAACTTGGGACCAGCAGCTGGCATAATGGCTATGTTGCTGGGCTCCCACGTAGTCGACCAGGGTTTAAGTCCCGGACCTGGTGGCTTAAACTCATGCTGAGTGCATGCATGTGTGTGCCCAAGATCCTGAGAGGAGAATGGAGGAGAAGGGATTGCGGCGTGGCCATCCCCCCGGGGCGGGTAATTTCTCACTTTCTGTTTCTCTGCCTCTCTGTCTTTCTGGCGAACATACCTGCCCTATAGCAAAAAAAATAACCTCTTTAAAAAAAAAAGTTGTGAAACTTTAGCCAGTGTTACCTGTTCAATGCAAATCGTATTTTCAATATGTTGTTTTAAGAGATCCCATGTCCGGGACCAGCAGTCAGCGTAATGACTATGTCACTGGACTCCCATGTAGTCGACTACAGTTTGAGTCCTGGACCCGGTGGCTTAAACACACGCAGGCATGCGTGCGTGTGTGCCCAAGATCCTGAGAGGAGAATAGCAGAGAAGGGATTACGGCATGGCCATCCCCCCTGGGGGGGTGACTTCTTGCTTTCTATCTCTCTGTCTCTCTGGTGAGCACATGTGCCCTATAGCAAAAATCTCTCTCCCCCCCAAAGAAGAGATCTCATATCCTTATTTTCAAAATTTAAACAATGTAAAAAGATAGGAAGTAAAACATGAAATCCTTCTCCCCAATCACATCTCCAGTGATACCAGCTAGTAACATCGTAGTGTTTATTCTTCTAAACTTTTTCTGTACATATAAAATTCTATGTATATATTTTATTCTCATTGTTTACTTAATGGAATCATTCTGCACCTTTACATTCATTTGTTTTCAAAAATAAACTTAGGGCCAGCAGGTGGGATAGTGGTTAAGGTGCTGGATCCCACATGGCTGATTGTGTGGCTCAAGTCCTGGACCTGGAGTCTTACAAATCATCCTGAGAGGAGAGTGGAGGAGAAGGGATTGTGGCATGGCCATCCCCCCAGAGAGTGCTTTCTCACTTTCTCTCTCTCTCTCTCTCTCTGGCAAGTGCACGTACCCTGTAGCAAACTTTAAAACAAAAGAGAAAGAAACGAAGTATATTTCTGTCTTTCTGTGTCATGTATATAGCTAGATTCAGTTCAAATGACCACGTTACTGAAGTCAGTGGTCGCGGCGCCGCGGAGCAGTCAGCAGACTGTTGTGGCCGTTTGCCCCGGTGGCAGGCATGGAGAATAGTGTACCTTCTTTCACACTTCAGAGTTAGCAAGTGCAGTTTTTCTCATAGCTTTAAAATGATTGAAAAATTCAGTTATAATTTCTGATTTAAATGTTACCATTTAAATTAAAAGTGTTGACATTACTAAAATATATTCAGTGGACCCTAAGGATAGTAATAATTTTATATTCAATATCGTCAGCTTAACATATCATAATTGTTATATCTGTGTTGCTGTGGGTCTTGCATATCTTAACTTCCTATGCTTTTTCCTTATTTAAATTTTGACAATGAGGGCCGAGATCTCTTAAAACAACAAATATTGGAAATTTTGTTAAGCCCTTGAATTAATATTCTCTCCATACTCTCTGTATTATTTCATCCAAATTATCGCACCCACACTATTTTGTTGAAAAGCGCTGCTTCCTCCGTGAGGCTCAAGCCCTCTTCTGTGCTGCCGTCGCAGTCATGGTCATTGTGCTCATTATGACCACCTGCATGGGTGGGTGCAGACTGATCAGCAGTCCTTGCATGGAGAAAGTAAAATTAGGCCTGCTGTGTACTCCAGTGCAGTGCCATCCTGAGGCCACGTGGGAGGCCCTAGGTTTGCGTCCCACAGCCTCCCTGTGTGTGCCAGTATACACACCTTTGCCCCTGATTCTGGCAGGCTGAGCTGGGGTGGATGGTGGTCGGAAGCCCCTGTTGGCGGTGCCTTTCTCTGTCTCTCCTGTCTGTCTCTCTGTCTCTGCTGTTAATTTTTTTTAAAGCTGGAAAATGCCAGAAAACATTATTGGATGGTATTCACATAACAACAGTCAAATGTCCCAGCAAGGTTCACAGAGAATCAAAGGCATATTCAAATTAGTAACTTAAGAATATCCTGTGGTTCCCAAGTTTATTTCTTACAGCAGCTCTCATGGGACTTGCATAAAGTGTACTATGTATATAAAATTAAATAAGTTTTAGTACTAACACATTTGTTCACTGAAATAAGTGCAATATTTAATATGCTAATGTGCTGATTTTTCTATATTTAACCTACCTGTGGTTGGAGTGTTTCTTAAGGTTTTTTTTTAATCTGTTGGATTCAAGATGTTTGGTATTTGAGAAAGTGATTCTTTTTTTTTTCCCTTAAGCTTATTTATTTCTTGCACTTGCAAGATAGAGACAGCACCCTGACAGGGTCCCCTGCTGTGCTCCACCCTCAGCTTCAGCCTTCCCCAGATCGTGGGCATGTGTGTGCCTGGGGGTGCTCAGGGAGGCCTCCAAACTCTGACCGTGAAAGCTGCCCACGTGGGTCAAGCTCACAAGGCATAGCACATCACCCCTGCACCACTGTCCCGCCCCGGAGCATGTCATTCTTAATGCATGATCTCTTGTTACTTTGAATACATAGTGAGCTGTCACTGAAATTAGTTTTTTTTTTTTTATTTTTGTGGGGGGAGGTTTTTGCTATAGGGTACATGTGCTCGCCAGAAAGACAGAGAGAGACAGAGAAAGAGAAAGTGAGAAATCACCCCGCAGGGGATTATGGCTGCACTGCAATCCCTTCTCCTCCATTCTCTTCTCGGGATCTTGGGCAAGCACGTGCCTGGCGTGAGTTTAAGCCACTGGGTCTGAGATTCGAACCGCGGTCGACCGCATGGGAATTCAGCAACATAGCCATTACGCTAACTGCAGGTCCCTATTTTAATGGTCTTTTAGCTTGATTTAATTTCCTTCTATTTTGTTGAAAATGAAGGAGTGGACATCCTCAGATGTATAGAAGGTTGCTTTACTAAATCATTACCTTTATTCCGTTTTCACTGTATGCCAGTATTTTAAATTGTCCCTCTGAGGCTCTAGAGGGCTTCACACCCTGAGGTAATAAATTGCAGTGAGCCTGGGAGAGGTGAGTGACATGTCTGGACAAGGGTCATGCTGAAGGGGAGAAGATAGGAAAAGAGATCACCCAGTTTTATTTTCAGACAGATCAGATGAATTTTAGGAAAGGCCCATTTGGGAGCCAGTGTGAAAACTGATACCATAAGATGAGCAGTGCCCACGTCACCATAATCTGTCTATTTTGCCCCTGTGAAGGGCATTCAGGTCGTTTCTGGTTTTTTTCATTATTAGCAATAATGCTAAAGTGAGCATTCTTAGATACACATCTTTACATTGTGACTTTTAATTTCTAAAGTTAAAGTTCGAGTGTTAGAGCAAAGCAAGGGACCAAAGCATGTTTTTGTTGTTGGTTTTTAGACTTTTACCATAGAACGCGTGTGCTCAGGGATTTTAGGCACACATACACACACACAGTGTGATTTCCAAGCCTCTGGGTCTGGGACTCGAACTGTGGTCGTCCATGTGGGAGTCCAGCACCTTAACCACTACACCACCTCAAGTGTGTGTTTTTTTTTTTTTCTCTCTCTCTCTTTTTTTTTTTTTTTAATTAATTCACTTTACACCATCACAACACACAAATGAATTTTCCATCCAAAATATACTGTGCATTGGCTCAATCAAGCACATCCACATACATGTTCTCAGCAAATAATTTTCCAATTCTT